CGTACAGCCCATCAATGAACGTCCATACCGTTTGCCTTTCCATCACAAACAGGAGATTAATAAACAAATTAAAGAACTAGAAGAACAAAATATTGTTGCTCCCAGCAAAAGTCCATGGAATGCTCCACTATTAGTTGTATCAAAGAAACCGGACAGTAATGGTGTTGTGAAATATCGTGTCTGCGTTGATTTCAGAAAATTAAATCAAATTTCTGCAGGCGATGCATATCCTATTCTTAATATAGCTGACATTCTAGATCAATTAGGAAAATCCTCGTACTATTCAACTCTGGATCATCAAGTAGAAATTCACCCAGAAAAAACTGCATTTAGTACAGATCAGGGTCACTTTGAGTTCCTACGAGTTCCTTTCGGTCTCAAAGGTGCACCTGCTACATTTCAACGTCTTATGAACTCTGTATTAAGTGGGCTAACCGGTCTAAAAGCATTCGTTTATTTGGATGACATAATAGTCTATGCATCTTCTATACAAGATCACGANTTTGGATGTCTATGCATCATCTATACAAGATCACGAAAACAAATTAAAGGATGTATTCAATCGACTTCGGAGTTTCAACCTAAAACTGCAACCTTCTAAGTGTTCATTTATGCGAAAAGAAGTACACTACTTGGGTCATGTTATAACAGACAAAGGTGTTAAACCTGATCCACTCAAAATCAAATGTGTTCTAGAGTTCCCAATTCCTAGAAACGCCAAAGAGGTAAAATCGTTTCTTGGTCTTTCAGGCTATTACAGGCGTTTTGTACCAAACTATGGCACAATCGCAAGGCCACTCACGAATCTTTTAAAGAAAGAAGTCTCATTCCACTGGTCAGATCAATGTCAAGAATCATTTGAAAAATTAAAAACTGTTCTAACTCAAGAACCTCTACTTCAATATCCAGATTTTAGCCAACCATTTAACCTAACTTGTGACGCAAGCAATGTTGCAATAGGTTGTGTTCTATCTCAAGGTCCTATCGGCAAGGATTTACCAATCGCGTACGCATCTAGAACTCTGAATCGAGCCGAACAAAATTATAATACAACCGAAAAAGAGTTGTGTTCTATCATATGGGGTATTAAGCAGTTCCGCCCCTATCTTTTTGGACAAAAGTTCAATGTGGTAACAGACCACCGAGCTCTTGTATGGTTATTCAATATAAAGGACCCAGGCTCGAGGCTAACGAGATGGAGACTTAAATTAGAAGAATATGAATATGAAATTCAGTACAAGCCAGGTTGCCATAATACTAACGCTGATGCGCTTAGCCGTATACACGTTACAACCCGGGCTCAGTCAAAGGAACAAATTTCTATATCACAAAATCATTCTACATCACAGGATCCTGCTAACTCACTATTAGACTCTGAAAATTACTCTGAACACTCCAATACACCGTCTTCGTCGACNACTGCTAACTCACTATTAGACTTTGAAAATTACTCTGAACACTCCAATACACCGTTTCCGTCGACATCCACCTCTAGCATGACAGAAAAACAACAGCTCGAGCAAACCTACACCAACTTCTTACAGGCCAGAGAGGAATCGATATCTACTACATCGAATGTTCAAGAAATTGTCGGAGATCTCTTCAAAGAAAACAACGATTGGCATTTAGCCAATAGCGTATCCCAAGATTTCTATATGAAAAAAGGAGTCGCTCTCGACTTCAGAAGAAAATTTGGACAAATAGAAGAACTTCTAAACCAAAGGAAAAATGTGACAGAAATTGCGCATTTAGTACACAATGAGAAATACATTCTATATCTTATTACAAAAGCTAACTATTTTGAAAAACTTAGTTACGAAATCTTGTTTAAGACTCTAATAAATCTAAAAACCTTTTGTCAAGAAAATAATCTAACCAAAATCGCTATGCCAAAAATAGGATGCGGGTTAGATCAACTCAATNAAAATAGGATGTGGGTTAGATCAACTCAATTGGAATCAAGTTAAATCTATGTTAAGATTCATTTTTGGAGAATCCAATATTGCTATCATAGTGTTTAGTAAAGATCACCTAAGGATCACTTGAGGAAAAACTCAGACTTGTTAAAGATTTCCACAATACTCCTCTCTCAGGTCATCAAGGAGTAGAACGGACTCTTAGTAAGCTCAGAATCGAATACCGTTGGACAGGCATGAGAAAACAAGTAGAAGAGTATATTAAGACTTGTCCTACGTGTCAATTGACCAAGGTGTCAAATAAATCGGTCAAGGAACCAATGGTAATAACTTCTACATCATCAAGAGTGTTTGAAAAAAATTTTCTAGATATCGTTGGTCCTCTAACTAAATCAAGTCGTAACAATGTCTTTATCATCACACTACAAGATGATTTAACAAAATTTTCATGGGCCATACCAACAAAAAATCATGAGGCCAACACTGTAGCCTACCATTTTGTGACTCAATTTGTTTGCTTACATGGTATACCTCAGCAAATAGTCACAGATTGCGGTACAGAATTTCTAAGTCAAGTTTTCGCAGAAGTATGTCGGTTGTTGAAAATAAAAAAGTCATCAACTACTCCGTATCATCCTCAGAGTAATGGCAGTCTAGAAAGGAGCCATCGAACCTTAGGCGAATACCTCAGAAGTTTTGTTGCGAAAGATCAATCAGACTGGGACGAATACATTCCATTCGCAATGTTTGCCTACAATTCCAGTATTCACTCGNCACTGGGACGAATACATTACATTCGCAATGTACAATTCCAGTATTCACTCGTCTACAGGTTATCAACCCTATGAACTAGTCTATGGTAGACAGATACACATTCCTAATTCGTTGTCGAAACCTCCAGAACCCCAGTACAATTTCTCTGATTACCAATTCGAACTCAAACGGAGACTTCAAGAAACAAGCGAAGTCGCACGCAATCGATTAATCGCTAATAAAAACAAAGCTAAATGTCAATACGACAAAAACGCACATTCTTTAGAAATTAAGGAAGGTGACATGGTTTATTTACAAAATAAAGCAGCTCACAATAAACTCACACCCAATTGGATAGGTCCATTTGAGGTTCTCGAAATCCACCCTAACCAGGTCAATGTAGCGATTAAGCGGAGGGGGAAAAGACATTTAGTTCATAAAAATTTATTGAAAAAACATTTCTCCTAAATCCATAATACAAAAAAAATTTTTTGTATTTCTAGTACATACACCAATGCAGAAATTCTAATTCACCCACCGGACAATCTAGCACACATAGACATACAAACTCCTTTCAATCTCTTCTACATCCATAATTTATAGAGATAACTTTCTCATTTTTATATTGCAATGTCCAATAGTTAAAATCGATGAATATAATCTCTATCACACGACACCTTTACCATTCTATTTTGAAAACAATAATGTTGTTCTAGTAAAACCAAACAACGATTATATAGCAATTAGCGATGATAGTGAGTTTTATTTAACTTTTAGTCAATCGCAAATAGAAACATGTATACCACTTAACTCATATACATTATGTAAAGGTAATCATCTAGTTTATCGTAAATCTTCTTCTAAGCTATGTGAGATTTTATTGTTAGAAAATCCACAAGATTTATCTCAATCATGCAAAATCATTTATGTATCATTTAATAACAGTATATGGAATCGGTTATCGAATACCAATTCCTGGATTTATTGTACGCGAGACGAACTAGTAACTCTGAATTGTAAATCTCCTCAANCGGTCGTTTAACAATATCTCCCACTTGTACTGTTCATACCACTTCATTAATTCTAACGCCCATTTCAACTGTACTCTACAACCATTATAATGATATAGTCCCTCTGAATCCTTTGTTTAACTTAATTAACACGTACACAGAATCCATTATTACGGTAACTCCACAACAAATAACAAATACCGATTTATTCAACGATCTTTGTACATTAGTTAAACATACTACAAATTGGTATACAAATCCAATAGCAATAGTTTTTTACTAAGTCCTTATCATATTGTAATCATTTATACTTGTTTGTCAATTTGTATCATATCAATTATAATTGTCGCTGTATTCTTTAAGTGTAAAAAAAAAGTAATTCAAGTATATACCACTGAAATTAATAATACACAACTCTAAATCTCTCTATTTTAAATTATATAATTCGCCAATATGAAAAACATTCTAAATCCCTTTGCAATTGTATAACTTTATTTATCTGATTTCCCTTGAGTCAATGGGAATCATTAGACCCCCATTGCTCATTTAGGTTGGGGGGTGTTAAGAACCCCTGNCTTGCTCATTTATGTTGGGGGGTGTTAAGAACCCCTGAATATTATTTTATAATTGTGTAGAGTATATAATACATGGTTGTCCGACTGTCGTCGAACACAGGAATATGCTGACCAAGGGTTTTAGGGCAACCATGGGCAAAGGACTCCCACTGTAGGTACCCTACAGTCAGTCGTGGTTTAGTATGCGCTAGTTACACTCATTCTATATCATTCTATGTCATTATATTTTATTATTCTATTAATTTGTATTAATATTAATAAATAACGTGTATTGTATTATTAATTGTGTCAATCAAATTATATATTCTAAAGTTTTATTGAAAAGTGAGTGTTTTCTTTTTCTCATTAAGTTTAATTCCTTTTACCACGTGGGCCCGCACAACATAAACTATGCATCGTAGCACTATGTTAAAATTTAGTTCTAATTATGCTTTAGTTATAAAGTTATAATATTTACTTTAATGTTGTGTTTGTTTAATTTCCTGACTTTAAAAGTAAAGCAAAACAAAATTTATCTTATTAATTCAAAGATCTAGTACAATTTTGATGGGGAAAATTTTTTTTTTTAACTTATATTATACTTTTATGCATGTTTTTAGGGGATCTAGGATTACCAGAACATTTTCAAATAACTTTTTTTTAATATGATCGACTTCAATTGACATAATGCTGAATCCAGATCAAAAAGCCGGTGTTACCCAAATGTCCCGAGTAAAAGTAATATATTATAGTATTCTTTGACTTACTTCTTCGGGAGTTAAAACTTTACCATCTTCATCTAGTCTGTAAGTTTTGCATAACATTAATCTACTATAGACAGAACTGTAATCTCTTTCTACTTCAGTTATTGCTACTTCTTCGATAAATAACCATGGATGACATGGTCCACCTGGTAAATTTAAATATTTTTTACTATAACTTTGAGACTTACGAAAACAACTCACCTAGAAAATATGGTCGTTTTATCCCATGTTCTAATACTTGTTTAATTGCGGAACAAAGAGATCCTCTTACAAGGTCAGTTATTATTTCAGAAATAGAATCATCACCAGCTACACTGTATTGTTTACTTCTTTCATCTAATAACTCAACAAATTTGGCCGGAAACCATCCTAATTGCAATTTTTTTTTATGAATATTTTACATTTAATTAGGGGTTTATCGGTTAGTTAAAACACGCGTAAGTTAACACATTTTCTCCGGTATTTAAGGTGTAATATGTACTAGGAAATGAATTACAATCAATATGTAACTCCCGTAGCAAGAGACAAGTTAAATTCAGTTACTACAACAGACAACACTAAAGGTAATGTCATTTTGTCTAATAACAATTTTAACGATAATAAAATTCATCTTAAATCGGTTCTTCAAACATTAGATTAGATTGAACAACTAAACTTTACCTTTCAACGTTGTTACACCCAAAACAGACGGAAAATAATCAAAATTATTTTTTTCCCTTAACTGATATGAGGTTGTCATCAGTCTAAACCAAATAAAACGTCATTAAAACAATACCACCCTCCCTAATGTTAATAATAATCAATCATTTGGTAATTCAATTACCAAAGAAAACACGCTTAAAAACAATACATGTCCTCCGTTACAATTATTAAAGGCGTATCAGGTTTTTCATTTATCAAAAAAGACTTAAACGCATTAGATCTATCTAATTTTTGCTACAAAGCTACGTTCAAGTATCTAATAATACGTGGTAACAACTTGGATATTCATAATAAATTACTTATTTTTTTCTCAGGCAGAAAAACTAACTTGCATTTCTTTTTACTAGTGATGGGCATTTTCGAATAGTTTTTATACAACCGAATAGTTTATTTTTAGCATAAACTATTCGAATGGGCTTCCGAATGTTTTTAAAAAATATTCGATTAGTTCTACCTAAATTTTTTTTATTAAGTATACTTAATTATAATAAGAAGATAATTAACGAATACTTATAAATAAATTATTATACAATTAATAATAGTAAAAATTAGTGATTGGCATTTTCAAATATTTTAAACTATCGTATAACTATTCAAATTGTGTTTATATAACCGAATAGTTCATTTTTAGCATAAACTATTCGCATATATTGTGTAACTATCGAATATTTTTACTATTCGAATATTTTTTGAATGGCTATCGAATAGTTCGAATAGTGGACAACTATCGAATAGTTCGATAGTTTCTATTCGATATTTCCCATCACTACTTTTTACCGTAATATTAATCATAAAAAAGTAACGGGTGATGATAAAATTAGCCTTCGTATTCTAAAAGAAGCTACAATTTATCATATACAGTAGATTCTTAATATATCGAACGTCGCTATCTCGAACTACTTTGAATTCCCCTTGAAACTACCATTACACTTAATAGTGTTTTGCTCTCTATAACTCGATATAAAATTAATCGTTTTTCGTTATCTCGAGTTCACAAATAATATTTTTATTACGGTTAAAACAGGAATTGTGCAGTACCGTCGAAAATACCAGCGAGAATGAAGACGAACCACAAAATGAGGAGGAAGTCATTTTTGAAGTTACAATTCAACAAGCTAAACATGCTTTAAAAACACTAAGGAATTTTGTTGAAACTACTACAGGTATAGAAGATAAGGCTTTTTTTGCATTATCTAATTTAGAAGACATCGTGGCAGAAAGAAGTAATATTAAGCAAACTTTATGACACATTTTTTCAAAAAAAAAATAATTTATTCAGTCATATCAGTATTTTAAGTATTCAAATTATTTATATAAGGCATTCGTATTATTTATTATTACTCATTTTTAGTATGGCTAAACTTTTAAAAAAGGTTATATTAAAGCGTCCAACCTTTTATAGAAGAAAAACAATTTATACCGAATGATCCGTTTGGTTTTAAACATTCTATTATATACTAAATTCACCGTATCACATAAATAATAATTAACGCGTTGCAAGAGAAAAAATATTATTACAGAATTTTCCTTGATATGGAAGGTTTGCTCATAAAATTACGTGAACAATTACCAAACTCTTGGTGTACACTTATTAAAGCTTACTTGACTAAAAAAAATTCTGCGTCATGCACGAAGAGGCTTAAACCTACTGGTAAGATATATCAGATGGATTTCCACTAAGTAGTGTTTTGGGCCATATCTCTTATCTATTCTACACAGCCATTATACCGATTAACCTTAACTCGACAATCACTATGTTTTGTATATGAAACTGCAATACTTACTACTCACAAATATCAACAACGTATAATATATACGGTTTATATTCAAATAACTATTAACATTTCTACATGAATGAAAAGTTAGAAGATCAAGGTGAATAATGAAAAATATACGTTAATTTTAAGTTACGAAAAATCTCTCGCATTCCAATATTTCAGAATCAATAGATAATCCTTCAATAATTCAGCAAAATAACTGGGAGTTAACCTTGACTGTCACCTTAACTGGAGACACCAAAAAAGAATATAAATAAAAGAAAAGTTGTGTTAACTCTATTGTTTAATTGAGAAACACTCTGAACTATCACTAGAGAATAAACGTTTATCATACGCAGTGATAATAAAACCTATCTGGACTTACGAAATTTTATTGTAAAGTTGTGATAATAAATTTAACATAAAGATTAAACAACGCTATCAAAACATCGCCCTTCGTAATGCGGTATAAAGATTTGACAGAAATTCATCGTGATATGATGCGGCCCACCATATCAATGAAATCAAATTTACGTATAGGCATATAATAGGGTTGGAAAACCATGAAAACTTAGCGGCAATTCAACTGTTGGACAATTCCCATGACTTAAAACATTTAAAGCGCATCAAGCCAAAAGACTTGGTTAAAATTTATACATATTTATGTATACACATTATAATTATTATTTTTATCATTAAACTATAATCTAATGGTACCAAACTTATAAGTTGGGTACTATTTCATTGCAAGTGAAAATCTCATTCTTGTTTTTATACATATATAATATATATATATATATATATTTTTTTTTTGTGTAAAAGAAGGAGTTAAAAATAATATTTAACTACTGTCTAAACAAAATTATTATAACTATTTAATTCAGTAAAAGTAAAATAGACATAAATGTAATAAAATACTACATCATCATAAATTATAAATGTTCTACAGTAAAATAAATGGTTGCACTAAATTTTATTTTATTTTTAACACTCCCTATAAAATTACAATTTACAAAATTTATTTTATGTTTACAATATTAATTTAATTTAATTATGCCCGCTTATGACCTGAGGTATTGGAAATGAATCCTTGACAACAGCTTTGTCATGATATCTGCTAGCTGCTCAATACTGCATACATTCTCTATCAGAAACAAACCTTCAGTGTATTTATCATGTATGTTATGATATTTTAAATCTATGTATTTAATTCTCTTATGGAACTCTAGGTTCTTTACTAATTTTATTGCGCTTTGGTTATCTGTGTTAGGTTGGGAATACAGGTAATACAACTTTATACCATACCTTTGGATGGTTACTGACGAACTGATTTATTATTACATATAAACATACAGATATAAGAACACACACAGATAACGTATACATATACATATATCTCATACATTACATTTTCCCCTTTTTAATTTTAAACCCCCATATTAATTACAATGTAAACAATATTTAAAATTAATACTAATATAACATACAAATTCATCAATTCCATAACGATTTGGTTTTTTAAAAATTCTATTTGATTTTTTTTACGATAATCATATCTATATTTACAAATCTAGGTACTTTAATATCATTAACATGTCTGTAAGTTTTTTCTTTTAATTGATTAACATGTGCAGTTCTAATTTTATTATTTAAATCTATTACATATAAGTATTTACTTTTTCTTTTAACAATTGTTGATGTTAACCATTTTAATGAACTTTTAAAATGATTCCTATATAAAACTTTATCTTTTGATTTAAATACTTTTAATATACTCTCTCTTACCTGGAGTCTACCCTTATTTTGTTCCATTTTAACTTCTACAATTTTTCTTATATTTTCAATTTTTTTATTTAATTTATTTACAAAAGTCCCTACATTATGTGAAAAAATTACATCAAATGGTGATTGTTTTGTTACCGTTGATGGTGTGCTATTGTAAGAATTGATAAATCTTAATATCTTCTCTTTAATAGATAATCTATCATATTTACAGTCTGACAAATATTTATTTAGATACTTTTTTACCGCTTGTACAGAACACTCAGCTTGACCATTAGATTGACTGTGATAAGGAGGTGTTTTAGTCACTTTAATATTACTTTCTTTACCATATGTATTAAATTTCCAAGAATTAAATGGAGGACCATTGTCAGTCACTAATTCTATTGGTAGACTAAAATAAGCAAAAATCTCTTGAAGAGTATAAATACTCTTTCAACATTAGTTATATTCTTCAATTTAACATCAATAAATTTACTATAAAAATCAACAAAAAGTAAAAATATATCTTTACCAAAGTAAAAGAAATCAATATGTACTCTCTCAAAAGGACTATTGGTTTCATGCCACTTTGATTCTACTTTCTCTTTAGGTATCTACTGTGTTTGACAACAAATCTCACAACCTTTAACAAAATGTTCAACATCTTTAGCCATTCCTTTTCTCCAAACTATTCCTCTACCTTCTATTTTCATTCTAACTATACCCTGATGATCCTTATGTAATAATTTCAGTATCTCTCTTTTTATACTTTCAGATATTACTATACTATCTTCAAAAAATAAACAATCATCTTGAGTTCCCATGTTATCTCTTAACCTAAAATAATACTTTACATCCTCTTCTATATTATTTGACTAACTTTCTTGCACATATTTTATTACTTTTTCTAATACTTTATCTGTTTTATAACCATCTGCTTTTTCCTCTGTACTCAAATTAAAATCATTAGTAATGCAAAATCTATTTATTGAGGTTTCTTCAATTTCTGTTGCTATATTCAATGGTAATCTAGATAATGCATCTACATATGTCATTTGTTTCGCAGGTCTATATTGAATAGTATAACTATACATAGATAATAAAACTGCCCATCGCTGTAATCTTGAAGCTGCTGTCACTGCTGTA